GCCTCCCTCCTTCCCTGGGGAAAACCTGAGGCAGCACTGTCAGCACAGACCCAAAAAGACAACAACCAAATCAGTCCCAGCACAAGACACACGTAGTTTAACTCTACCAACCTGATCCATGTTCTCTACAGCCCTTGGCCAGGCACCCACGCTCCAGACAAGCAGATAAAAGGCACGAATCACAGCATTTACTGCCATGGACGCTGCTGCTGGTCCCTCCCCGTGCTCCCTGAGGGCCGGAGCTGGGCCCAGGTGGTCCCTGTTACGTGCCCGGCCTCACAGCTGCTGCCCCTCAGGACGGGCTCCCAGCACCAGATTGTTCCACAAAACTTTCCTCCAGCCTTAATCATCAACTAATGCCTCAGGTCTCAGCACACACTGTCACGTATGGGGCTGTGCTTTGACATCAGTGGTGCCTGTACATCACACAAGTTTTTGTTGTGGCCAGGACAAGCTGCTGCTTTGTAACAAGGAGTAACACCGCTGGTCTGGTTTGTCATCCAGGTGGGATCAGGGCAGGGGGTGAGTGCATCGAGCCTTCCCCCTATGCCTTAGACTTGGTTCTGATGTTCATATGCAGTACTCCCAGGGAATATTTATTGCCCTGACTGGGTTTATGAGCTGGTTGCTCAACAGTCAACAACATACTGCAGAAAGTTGCCCAGGCACAGATTAATGGGACAGTCATCTGCTTTCTGGAGCAATAGGCATCTGCTGGTATCTGCTGGTTACACCCCACCTACAAATAAAGAATTGGGCCTGAAGATGGGCCAGGTGTAGTTTGGTGTAAAATGCCCTCTGTTCATTTAACCTGCACAGAGCTATTGCTGGGGCCAGGAGTGGCTGGAGACTCACAATACAGGCATGCAGTGCCTGCTCCTTCAGCACTGACCTCAGCTGAGCTGGAGCTCTCGGTGCTGCAGCTGGCCAGAAACCTAAACACAGCATTGTTGAGCTGGCTCCCGACTCAAGATTATCTCAATAAAGACAGGGAGGGGAGCACACTGTGGCAAACCTATCTTTGCTTACAACCACCACTTAACCATGCAAAACACAGCAGTTCTGTGAGCAGGGCTTCCCTGCACATTCTCCATTCAAAGGGAGAGGAGAAGCCAGTTTAAAAAAACTAGGACAAAGGCCAGTAAATGACCATAAAATTATTTAAACAAGGAACACCAGAAAGCCAGTTTTGTGAATGTGAAGCTGATATGAGCTTCCATAGGACAAGTGGAATAAACATGTTTTTGCCTCCCAAACATGACCATCAGCTGGAAGCAGCATCACTTTATCAGTGAGAAATTTCCAAAAATTTTGCAGAACTAGGAAGAAGTAAAAGCAATGATTAACATGACTTTCTGCTCTACTTTATGTCTAACACTAAAATTGATGTGCTTGTCTGACCCACAGTGTATTTATACATCCACATCTTATGGCTTCCTCTGTCCATGACTTCATCAGCAGAAGGTGTTTAGGGTTTGCCTGGCATTAAGTGGCCAGACAGAGTGCATTAGTCTAGAAATGGATTATTAAATTCCACTGTCAAACTGACAGATACAGTGCAATGAAAGTCCTTCAATTACATAATGTTTTATGTGTACTGTTAAAGAGTTCCCATACAGTTTGGCTTCAGTCCTACTTTGATTTCTTTCTTGCCTAACCCTTTACTTTGTTCTGTCAGGCCTTGTCCTACCTCAGTGTGTCAGCTACCAAGCTGCTTACATCTTTTTGGGAGCCATCCCTACTCAGCAATGTGAGCCAAGTCACCACATATGGATTCTAAACTCCAGGACTTCAAACCATTCACATAGTTGAAGAATCACAAATCAGCTCCATTTCTTCTAGGCACAAAAGGACATGCTTTCAAGCTGATTGGAGAACTCTTTCTTCCCCTTCAAAATACAAAGAAAAATTCAGTAAAATGTCATCAAAGTCATAGGATGCAAACCTCTGACAGCTCCACCCTCTCACCTGCCTACTCAACAGCAATGCTAAAAGGATTATCTTCAACTCATCTTCAGTCCAATCAGGCATTTTCTTTTAAAACCACATTGCTGCTGCCTTCCAGCACACGATAAATTTGTACCAACAGAGATTCCACTGTTTTCCACATGGGACATCATCAGTAGCTTGGATGAAACAAAGCATATTCTAGCCACAAAGGACCAGAAAATGGGGTGCCCTTTTTAGGAATTAAAAGACAGGCAGGAACCCCTACAGCTGTTGTTGCTGGTTTTGTTGACTTCTGATGAGAGATACCAGACAACATATGTTCTTCTGAGTTAGAACCCCTTCAACACCAGGAACCTTTTTGTGGTCCTATTTCAGCAGAATTATTTCCTTCTCAAAGAAATCTTAAATGTTCAGTAAGGAGTCAAGAAGTCACAGCCATTTTTTGGGACAGTTTTAATTTCCTTCATCTCCTCACTTACCATGACCAGGATTAAATTGGATGAATAGAATGGGCATGCTTTGGTCCTGTCTCAGACTGCATTCAGCTTGTGTTAAAACTTTACATTCACTGTACCATGATTTTTCAAAAATGCTCCTGCTGTCAAAGCACTGTATGGTTCTTAGCAACCTACCACATAAAATATTTAATTCTCCACACTTGCTCCAAAAGTATATACAAAAATAAAAAATGCAGAAAATTCCAACAATGTATAAGGGTGGTTGTTTTTTCTTCAGGACCCAACAGCACTGAGGCTGAGAAATCTTGCATTTAAACTAGATAAAACAATGCCCTCTAGCGTTCTGTGGAGAAATCCCATATAAAATTGCTGAAAGGCTTAAAAAATTAATGTACCATCTCAAGTGACAGTCAATGTTTTGAAAGCACACAGCACGTGTGCAGCATCCTTGGAATTTTCTGTGTACCACTGTGCCTGCAGAAATATTTGGGATGCATTCTTTACCTTCTCTCCACTGCTGATACTTGCATCATAACTTCTAATACCATCTGTGGGCAGTCCCCCACCTGGGGCACGTGTCAAATCACACCATACCACCCTGCACCTTCCCCAAGTACACACAGGATTTGGTACAATGTGTTACAGACCCACCAGACAAGCAGGATGGAATTTTTGGCTTGAGGAACTTTCTTACAGAGCTCCAAAGTTTAGTAGAACTCTTTAAGGCAGCAGCTGTCCCAAGATATTGATAAACTGCAAAGAGAACTATCCAAATTCAAGAAAGACTCAAAGTATTCTCAAAGTTTAAAAACACTCCTGTAGAGCTATCAAAATATTTATTTACATCCTGTACATATTACAAAATTTAATTTTGCATCCCACAAAGGACTGGAAGGGATTTTATAACTGATGGTCTGAAAAGCAAAAGGTAAAGTCCTTGAAGAAGGCTGCTCTTAAATGGGCAGCTAGGTGTCCTTCAATTTTACCATCCATTGCTCAGAAAGACAACTGCTGGGCTCTCACCATCTAGACAGATTAAAACTTGAATGACTTTGATTAAACTTTTAATCACATAAAATACTTTTAAAATAATTAGCAACAATAAAAAAATCCTGTTAGACCACTGTGGTTTTGTTATTTTACATGACACTGAACTGCTGCAGATAGAAACCATGGATCAAAAGGGAGGACAAAAAAAGAAAAAAAAGAGATTGGAAAGAAACAGCAGTTCTGTCCATTTCCCATCTGTAATACAGGGAAAAAAAGATGAAGCTGGCTATTTTCTGGCAACCTAAGGAAGGGGACTGGTACACTTAGAAAACTGCCAATATAAAGACAGCATCAGTCACAAATGCCCTAAGCCCTACATGATTATGCAGGCATTTGAGGAGCCAGCAACACTTGACTGTCAGGTGAAAGAAAGATACCATATTATGGCTGGACACAAGGTCTTTTCTTTTCCAAACTCAATGATTCTTTGATTCTATTAAGTTGGAATTTGTTTCTTGTATGAACAATTTCATTCTGTCACAGTGGCCCTATTAACAGTGATTCTCACTTCTCACTCCTGCTGGGACATTCCCTGGAGCAAGGTTAATACAGGCCTGGTTTCTCCAGAGGGAAGCCAGCTTGGCCTGTTTGATAGGTAAAGACAGAAGCTGAGCTCTTCAGACCAGGTATCACCCTGCACCTTCCAGAGGAACTTACTCATAAAAACAAAACATCAGAAATCTCTTTAAAAAGTTTTGCTCATAAAAGTCAAGTTCTGCGAACAAAAGCCTGCCAGAGTGACCAAGCAAAAATATAAAGAAAACACCCAGTGAGAGCATACACCTAGAGGAAATTCTGGACTTGATGTGGCACTTGTAGTGAGCCTTTTAGGGCTCTGTATTTGCAGCCCTTGTGTCTGAGGCTGCAATTCAGAATTTGGATGTAGAAGTGGGATCAAATTAGACATTTTTAAAATTAGGTTTGAGCTAGGAAACTCCACTTCAAAATTTAAATTGCATTCTTCTCAGACAGCAACCAATACATATTCTAACTAAAGCAGATACTTTTTTTTTCTCTAATGAGGGATGGTTACTGCCAGCATTCTGGCCTGCAAAAAAAATTATTTTTGATCTTGTTATACATGTAACCAAATTAAGAGAGAAAAGAAACCAGTTTAGAGACCATCTGAAAGACAGCCAAGGGAGAATATTCAGTGTTTGTACCACTGCACTAGGAACTCCTGTTTCTTAGAGGTCTGACACAATATATCTGTGTTACTGAGCGTATGCACAGAACACTACCTTGGAGAAACTGCTTGTATGTGCATGTTAAAAAAAACCTCTCAGGATCAGATTCCTCCCTGTCACACTGTCATTCTGTTTGCGGGGAGTAGTGTGAGAAAAGGACCATTCAAAATCCAAGGTACAAAAAAAGCAATGGAGGGATCTGGGGAAAAGAGACATTATCTTGAGAACCCAGTTTCCAGCCTGAGTGAACAAAACAGCTTTTCCAGTTCCTTCAGTTTATTCAGCAGTCCAGTGCCTTTCAGACACATTCTCACCTCCTCTGGGAAGAGCAGAACAACTTGAAGGAGAATGGAGGAAAATGCTCCAACATCCATCACAAAGAGGTCACACACATGCTGGCATATTTTGACAGCATGTATGTTCTGCAGGGATGGGAGCATTTTACTAGTGCCTCACTAGGCAAAGATGCCAAGAGCGTCCAGGTAAAACACTAAAACCATCTGAACTGAAAGTAGTTTCATCAGTGAAGTATAATTGAGCTTTTCCATTCTTCACCTTGGCCCTCTTCTAGCTGAAGTGCTTTGCTATGAGTCTAGCACTGGTGCATTCTCGGTAATTTCTTTCTGTGTCACTTTCTGCAGGTACCTCAGTCGCATGGGAGGGAGCTGCTCATAAAGGTCAAATCCCAAAGGACTCTCTGCATTCACCAGTCTGTAATACAGCAGGTGCTTTTTCAAGGTCTGAAAAATGAAACAGAAAGGTATCTAATCTTTTCCACCATCTCCAACACAACACAGCAAATCTGCAAATAGTATAATTCCATCATGCCCAAGATATTTAATTACATCATCTTCAATAGAAGAGCTGTAAAAGGCAAGTTTCTCCCACTAAAATTCACTTTTTTTTTGCAAGAGATTTCCTTTTCTAAACACAACTCCATTTTCTTCTCAACAGCCCCTCACAATGACTTCTTGCTAGAAACCGAAGTGGGTTTTTGAGTGTCATCTAATAATTTACCCTGGACACAAATCACAGAGGGCCAAATGACCCAGCTCTGTCCCACAAAGGATAGATTTTGGCAAGCTCCTTGAAAAAAGAGAAACTTTATATCTGTCCTGTTCTTTTCAGGGGAAGCATCCAACTAAGAGTTAAGAAAGATCACTGCTGGCCACCTATTCATAACTGTGCTACAATCATCCCTCTAATATCTCTAGTTATCCAGATATAAAGCTGCTTGGACAAGAGGCAAGGAAATACAGTACAGGAGATTCACCTAGGTTGCAATAGTCTCAGTGTTTTGAGGTCAATTACTACAAGAACCGGTTAAGCGTATTTACAGATATTCCAGGCCAAAATCCTGCTGCTAATCTCCTCTCATTGTCAAATTAGCAACATAATTAAACACAAATTTCAAAGCCAAATATAAGTCTGTAAGAGTAACACATATGGAAAACTTAATTCCCAGCAGTACAAGCTGAATCTTACAAATCCTACCTCATCCACCAACAGCCACGTCTTCCGCAGCATGCTTTTCCGAGCAGCATCTGTCTCCTGGGAACAAAACACACACGTACTTTCCTTAATATGGTGCAGTAACACCTTTGCCCAGGGGCATACAGCACTCCAGGATGACTTGTTTATTATAATGATGAGCAGCTTGTTCCAGCAGAAAGTGCCTGAGATGTCTTATCACTTAAATCCTGCCTCTCTGCTCCTTTCCCTGATCTGAATCTCAGCTGACTTCTCAACCTTCAGGATGAATTGCAGATCAGAGGTGAAGTCCTGTAAGCACAACTGTTCACTGACAGAGGCCTCAAGGCCATAGGAGGGCTTCTGCTTGGTTACTTAGGCAAAGTCAAAAAAAAGACTTTGCACCTTAAGACTGCTAAGGCAGAGGCCAAATCTATTACAAGCTCTCTCTGTGTGATCACCTTTCTTATTCTTCCCCCCACACCACAGAACACATAATTGTTGACCTCAAAGATTTAGGTAGGACTAGCTACCATTAATGCAAATACATTACGATATAATGAACAAAAGCTGCTGCCTTGTATGTGGATCCTCAAATAGCTGATGAGTCCTCAACAAATTTGCTTACAATCTTTGTTTTCAAGTCCCAAAGGTCAGTGATTCATTGCAAGGCACACTGGACTTACAGGGAGAGCAGATGCAAAACCCAAAGACTGCAGCCCTGAAGCTCTGCTATCCATTACCCACCTGTGTTGTGCTTTCTTGGGAGAAAATGAAACTGTTCACATGAGCCACAGCCACCAGGTACAGAACAGGGCACCAGGTGTGGCGCAGCGCACCAGTGACCAGCGTTCGGAAGTAGAGTCGGAGGAGGTTCAGGTTATCCTCAGGAGGGAAAGTGTAGCGCTCAAGAGGCACAGGAAACTGCAACAAACCCATCCAGAGGCAACATTACAATTTTTGTCAGGGTCTAAGTGGTGAGAGGAAGTTAATGACTTCTAGAGTCATTAACTTCTCGAGCCCTTCCTTGTGCATGCCCCCCTGTAACGCAATGTTACCCCAGCGGCATGACCCCCATTTGCAGCAGAGCTGCTACGGCCCACCCTGACTGATGTGACGTGCCTTGACAAAGTCTGGTCAAGACCTCAACTTTATGGAGAGATGTTTTACTGGTCCTATCACTGCAGCTGATTTTTGGCACAGATAAGATGAGCACTTATAAAGTAAGAAGACAGAGTATTTTTGACAGCACTGCTAAATTCTATCTCTTGCGCTCTGCTCACTCAAAAGAAACGCAGTCCTACACTTGACAGATCAAATTTTCTTGCTGTTACTCAGCAGAGCACAACTCCAGGATAACTGTATGTGGAAAGATGGTTGAGAGGGAAAATGACTATTTGTCTATGCATGGACAAGGAAAAAGTTCTCACCAAGGTGTGAAAATACTTATTTAAGGGAAAGGTAATTGCTAGCACAACACAGGGTGCGACCAGCCCTTCTATAAATTAGAAGGGTCTCAATGGTTAATCCAAGCAAGGTTTGGGACAGTTTCCAGTGAAGACTGAGCAATTTCCCAGCTCCTGTCCTCCACATATCCACACAAATCAAGGTTGGAGAGTCACAGGCAAGAGTGCAGTAACACAGAAATACACAGTGACAAGCAATTACCGTAAGCCAGGATTACCTGCTGTAACGGCACTCCCAGCGCCCGCAGGATATTTGTGTGCTCCCCAAAAACAGAGAGACGCAGATGAACACTGAAATGCTTCTGTAGAGGTAGAAGAACAAAGACTCCAAAGAGTGGATCTCCAAAGGAGACACCCTCAAATTGCTCCAGGAGGCTTATATAGAGATCATGGAAGGATGCCAAACCAGGGAGAGGAGCATCCAGGTTCAGAGAGTCCAGGACCTTGGGTTGGCAATACACAGAGAGAAGGGCAGCTGTGTAGCGGTGGATTGGTGCTTCTAGAAAGAGGTCACTGCCAGTGAGGAAGACACACATAAGCCGTGCAAGTTTGGCAGCAGTTGGGATGCTCTGGAGGATTTTAGAACGCCACGTTTCCAGCAACAAGACCCACTGCAGGTTCCAGGTCACAGTGTTGATGAGATCAAGTGGAAGAGAGTTCAGTATGGCCCCACGTGTCTCTGCATTAGTCACTTTGTTGTAGAGGCTGATAAGTGGAAAGAATGGCCAGTCTGAAGGCAGGATGGGCCCTTTGACCTCAGGAAGCAGCATTGACTGGATGAGGTAATTCTGCCCTTGGTAGGATGCCTGAGAACGCATAAGGGTGGGCTGCAAGTGGACAAAGTGGGAGAGGTAGCAGGAACGAATAGAAGGCAGATTCTGGTATGCTTCTCTCAGCAGGGCACCACGAGTAACCCTTGGAAGAAATGCTGCTGCAGAGCCAGGCTGTGCCAGTTTGGCACTGGTGCCCAGATGCAGAATATCAGAGAAGTCAGCTGCTTCTGGCCCACCAGCTTTCCCTTCACTGTAAGGTAAAGACAGCAGTTTAAGAAACAAACAAACAACCAAAACCTGAAATGCCAAACAAACAACATACCACATTTATTCACCTCTACAGTCTTCCTTCAACAGGAAGAGTAGTACAGGCAGAGCACTCAACACTTGCTGCATCATTGAGCTATTCTAATACAGAGGGCCTGTAAAGCATCAGCTACCTTGGTATTTAGACAGAACTCACAGAACTACATTTGGAGTCAGCAACACTGAGGCTGTGCCATGAAAACCCTCCACACAATGCCAGTCTAGTGCGGAGCCCAAAGCCCTGTTCAGAGAGGCAGCCTACTTATCAACATGGACATGAGAGTGCCGAGATGAAACACTGCATGTCAGATACGGCCTACACAAACCAGTAAGACAATTCCCAAAACAGAACTTTGCAGCTGACAGTGGCAAGGTCAGGGGAGCCATACAGACTGATAGAAACTGTGCATGTGGAGGGTGTTTGTCAAATCCATATGCCACAATCTCAGACCAAAGACCCACCATTTTGTTGACCCAACAAAAAAAAACCAAAACATCACCACACAAACAAATCTACTAAAAAATTTTCCTTCTTTCTGAAAAAACAAAGTACCTCCTTGCATAAACCTTGGATCAACCTCCTACAGGGATACACCATGGCTAATTTAAAACAGTTTGAGATGAACAAGATAAACTGCTACCATCTCATTGCCCAGATATGAGAGGATTCATATTTGCGATGCTCATGAGTTCTTCCAGTGTAAAGTGGAAGACATGACATTTGTCAAATCAGCAAACTGGATTATTTTGAGTTTGAGGAAGATTCATTGAGCTTTTAGGCTATGTCAAATTCTCATTTACTTTCTAGACTCCCGATTCTCAGGATGGAAGATGCTAGGCCTTAGGGAGGATCAGTTCTATCAGGAATCACACAACCTTGTCATTGAGGAAATCAAAAGAAACTGGTCACATTTCTCAACAGCGCTACATCAGAGAAAAATATGCAACCACTGTGCTTGCCTGATTAGAAGGCTCCATGCCAGAAGAATAAGCCAGTAAATAAAATTTAACTATAGACCCCATCTAAGGCCAAAAATTACGACAAAATTGCTGTGCCAATGTGTTTTTTTCCATTTTCCCCATGTTTTCCCATGCACCAGACTAGAAAAAGGAAAAAATGCAAAGCTTACGGAAGAAACTCTGGATTAAAGGCAAGATCCAGTAGGACCTCATGAGCCAGATGCTCACTCCCTGGCAACAGACGGCTTAGCAATGCCATGGCAACACAGTGATGGAGTGAGGCATGCTGGGCGTAATCTGGACAAGTGCCTGCCTGTACAGGAAAGAAAACAACAGATAAAAGCATTTGTCAACAAGACAATCAACACAGAAAGGAGGGTCAAACAAGACACAGATCTTGCAAAGTGAAAGATTGAGGCAGACTGCAAGAGCTGGCAGCATTCATACCAAGAGATATTTCTGCTTCCTCTGACTGCCTTAGATAGTCAGATTTTTTTAGCAACACAGTTGAAAACTGTGTTCTTATTTTATCCCAAAGAAAGGCAAAAATATAATTTTTCCATCCAAAGTATTTTGGAACTAAATTCCCACATCAGTAACCGGAAAGATGTTATTTGCCAATGGGTCATAAAAGTCAGCAGAAGAATTGCCAGACCTAAGTCAGGTACAAGAAAGAACAGGGACATGAACACCAGCTGTCAGTGAAGTCAGTTCCTTGGGGGAAAGAAATGAAAGGACTGATAACGATACCATTTTCCGAGCCAACGCTAACACAAAGTACTGTAGGTGATACTCATGGCGCAGGATCCACGCAGATGAGGGAGTCACAGAGGGAGGTCCAGTCTGCCAGCTTTGATGCAGATAATCCTTCAAGCCTCTGAAGCCCAGCACAGAGCTGTACTATAAAGGAATCACAAGTGGCGACAAATAATATTAAGACTGTTTGTGTTTGGAGGAAAGCAAAACACAACCCTATCCAAGGCCCTCCCCTATCTCCTCTCACATGACAATTCCTGTTGGCTACTCCAAAAGCCATATTTAAAAACAGCCTAATAAACATCTGCTTTTCTTCCTCAGGTGATGGATGCTCACCTGCATCCATCGTGACCATCCCCATCACAGACAATCAACAGTCACTGCCGACATTTTCTGTAATGTTCTGTAAGGCAGAAATCTGGCCAGTGGCTTAAAATGTTTTTCCCTCATCTGGCCAGATATCTCCATCAGTAGTCGATCAGCTAATTCAACACAAGGTCACACAGGAAGGCTTTGAGAAAGCTTATGCTACATATTCCATCTTTCTAGAGCTCAGACATTTGTTCTTTAGAGTCTGAAACCTTCCATGACTCACTCATTCTAAAAATTCAGAACAAACCAAAGTAGGAAGGACCTTCTTCAGTAGCACTCATTCTCTTTAACATTACCCCATTTTTCTTTGTCATATATGCTTCAACCATGTTTTTCCTCCACTGACACTCAAGTTTTATATTTTGCTTAGCCAAACAGCAGCTATTCAACTCTTCTCAACATTCGTTATAAATACATCCTTTAAGCATCACCTGCTCTGTAATTCCAGCTTCCTGGTGTCAACTGAAATTGGAATTCAAGGACATTTTTCTGATCCTCATCCCATTTGTTCTGAAAGTCAGGCTGTTTCTCTCTATAATACTTTAGTATTTTTAAAATAAAAATGCACAATAATTTGCTTTCAGCAGTCCTTCTAACATCTCTTTTATACCTGGGAAGGTACAAATACTAACCTCTCTCACAAGTTTACCATCATTCACCTAGAATTTGCAGTGAAAAGGTTTATTCTCACCTTGCTGGTCAGGCCCTTGTGAATGTGAGTGATGTTATTGATGAGAAATAAGAGGGCAGTGAGGAAGGGGAAAGGTGACTTGGAGCCAACAAGGCTCAAAGGAGGTTTGCCTCCAGTGCAGCTCAGAGATGCAATGCTGCCGACAGATTCTGGTGCCGGGGAACAGGACAGAGGGTTGCACAAAGCAGAACATGGCCTGTGTGAAGAAATAAAGAGAGAGGGGTTAGGTCAAAAGCATTCATAGTGCTGAGGAATTATCTTGTTGAAATGTTGCTATCTATCTGAACTGTACCACACATTGCAGTAAAATGGAAACCCTGAAGACAGTGAAAGCAAAAAGCCAGTGTCTCAGCTGGTACACCAAGCACTACTGCCATACAAGCTAATGCCAGGGATTTGTCAGGAACTCTCCAGCTAAACTGGTCATGATGAGCAGAAATACTGATGCAGTGACGCATCTCTGATGTCAAATACACTAAAGTGTTGGACCTTTGATTTAAAAAAATACACTGTTCCCCACATACATACGCACACCAGGCTAATAAGGCTGCCCACCCACTCGAGACATTTCAATAATAAACTTGTAGGCAACACCAAAAAGCCAGCTTATATCTAAAATTGACTTTGCAAAAATGCTGCCCTTTATGCACTAATGAAATGCATATTTTAAAACTGTATTCAGAAAGAACATAGCTTTAATGTACATGGACATGACTGTGCAGACCACTACTGGCGTGTGTTTTCCCTGCAGGTGAAACTACAAATTCCCACACCAGCAGTGCTAGCAGGCCCTTGAGTAGATACATCATGTCTGTATAGGTAAGACCACCACAAAGGAGAGTGATCACAAGCAAGCTGCTGAATGGTAATGGGGTGATAGGGCAAACCCTGTCAAAGATCCATATCATTACTCTATGGCAGAAAACTAATTGCTTAAATGTATTGCTGTTTCTACCACTGGTATTACATGTAGGAGATGGATAAACACATGTGGGGCTCACAAAATACCCTGAACTCTTGGACCTAAACTGCCCGGAAAGTTAAAGACAAAATTGTTCAAATATTTGGGCAGAGATCAGCTGACTCTGTTTTTTACCAGCCAGTATTAACAGCAAGTATTCTTGTGGATGAGATTTTATAGCCTGACCAAATCCATTGTCTTCAGACTGCCAGGATAGGCAGAGAAGGGTCTAATGAGTGCTCTTGTGTTGGAAACTCTGATGCAAAGAGCTTCAGAGCTCAGTTTCAGTCAAGAAAGAACATGGGTCAAACTGCTTGGTGGCCATTCAAATACCACTTGAAAACAAAAGTTTCAAGTGCCCTTTATATCAGATGTTGTCAGAGGCAGAGGGATGCCACTCTGACTGCAAGTCAGGCCTTTTACACTCCTCAGTCCAGAAGATTAGCTACAGCCTAGTAAGGAGGCTCCCTCTACAGCAAAGACAGAATATCTGCAGTGCTTAACTGTTTCCAGAGCCAGAGTTTATGTTATCCAAATGTCTGGAAGAACAGTTTGGTGTCTGTTCTTGCACTTCCCTGCAGGGGTTTTCAAAGCCCTAGTGAAGCTCTGCAGGAGCTTGAAGATTTCAATCTAGTAAATTCTTTCATATAAGCAGCACCACACAGAGCACATGAACAGTACATGAACACACTCACCTCGTCATGTAAGAGCAACTCAACTAATTCTACTTGTGCTATTTTTTTAGACCAGTAAACCAAAGAAGAATCAAAACCAAGAGTGACTAAAATAATCTGAAATTGATATGAAAACCCCAGCTACATGGCAAAGCAGAGATGCAGCAGCATCAGTAGAAAAGGAGGAGCTGCAAACCTCTGCAGCCATCATGCCTTTTCTGTGAGGGGTGAGAGGACAAAGCAGGGTGTAGACACAGCCCTATTGCGGTCCAATTCCCATACCTGGGGCATTTTGCACAGGGAAAAGAGGAGAGAGAGGAGAGAGCTGTCACACAGTACAGTACAGAAATGGGGCTCCTTTAGCTTCTGACAAGAGTATCTTAGCAGTGGAATGGTTTTACCTGAGCAAGTCCCACATGCTGTCTATCGCTGGCTGGCTGAGAAGGGGCTGCAGCACCTCTGATGTCAAACGTTCCAGTTCCTCTAAGCAGTCAACTGGATTGACTGATGGCTGTAAAATACATGGAGAATGACAGGAAAAGAGAGTGAATGACCATAACATCCAGTGATAGCAAAAAGAGAGACTGATTTATTTACTTCCTCTATTATCTTTTTGCCAGACCCCATCACCTACAGAGTGGTACTGCTCTAGGTTAGAGCTGGCCTCACTGCTCATAGTGTGGAAGCTGAGAGCTGGCACCTCAAGGTGTTCTCACACTCAAGTATTAAAGTGCATCCCAGAAATTCTTAATTGGCTGGAAGTAAGATATGGGATCCTTGGAATCAAGATTCACTAAATGAAAACTTAGGTAGACCCTCCTCTCCCTACCATCTACATGTTTCTATTAAAACTGAAGATGACACAAAGGTGATCAGAAGTACCTTGAGAAATCTGAGCGGCAACACGAGGGTCTCCAAAACAAACAAAACAAAACAAAAAAATCAGCAGCATAAAGTGTGATTGACCTACCCATTAAAGTATGACTGTGGATGAACACTGCACAGACGAGGAACTGTGGCTTTTAGAGAATCATTCAAATTCTTCTGACCCTAGTAAGCAATATTCCAGGTTGAAGGAACATGCTGGCAAATTTTAACACTTTATCTTCATTAGAATGCTGCTCTGGGATACAGAAATATTCATTTCCATTACATAAAATCTGATTTTACCCCAGGTGAAATTCGCCTCCAGAAATCAGTTAAACTTTTGTGAAGATGTTAACCTTAGTTTTTAACAGTCTAACAAAAATATTACAAAAAAGTCCCAGCATACACTAATCTAATTACTATACAAGTTGATTTTTTTTTGCACTAATCTATTCAAACACGCTATGTACAATTTCTTTTTTTAAAGGCTAACTAGAGGTAGATGACTGAACTTCTCCTGAAGTTGAATTCAAAAACCCAGCACAATTCAATGACTGAAGAAATTGTTTCATCAGTCACTCTTCTGGGATATCTGTAGAGGTTAAAAAGGAACATTAAACTCTTGGCTGTCCTGGTTTGCAATGCTCAGGATGTTATCACAGTCTGTAAAATATACCAACCTTCAGGACCCTGAAGACATCTTTGAGAGACACTGGCAGTTTCCACCCCAGCCATAACTAATAAACTTAGTTGCTTTTGGCAAGTTTCAGAGGAATTGTACCAGTGTGAATAACTACAGCCATTAAATTACCACACCTTCAACACAGCTCTCCCAAGTTGGAACTCAGGCATGTCAGTTGGGCAGTAAAGAGGAAAATTGCATTTATCTTTAGAACATGAATCTTTAAGATAGCTAAAGTGTAAGACATTATTCTTCAACAGCATCATACAGACATGTCACCTTCAGAACACTTACTTTAAAAGATGATCACATACTACAACTGTGTGTTACAGAATTTGACCTTGAATGTCAGTGGTGCAACACATAAATTTATCTTTATTATTTCCTATCCAAAGTTCATACAGCACAACCCTTAAAGCTCAATCTTCCACCCAGATCATTGCAGTGTAGGTGTCCACATGTAAGCTCTCAGACCAAAGCAAATGCAAAAACACATTACTTGATTTATCCCACTAGGAAGAACGGCTGCCAAATAAAATTACATTGTATTTGCTTCACACTTTGGAGCTCTGTAGTAAGTCAGTACAATCACAGCACTACCACTTTGATTGAGACCCTGATCCCAAAGGATGAAAGGACAAAAAAGGAAGACAGATATTTGGCACTGCTAATGTCTAGGGTTAGCAGACTTAAGTGACCCTGAATGTCATGCAGCCTAGATATGAGCTGTGGTTACAAAATCAGTGCTCAGCTTGATTCCTTAATATCCATCTTTTTCAGTACTGCCTGTAAGTTCCAGTTTTCAGAGGTAATACACAAGCTGATGCTGGTGAGATGAGAAGAATGCCTGTATTTTCAGGCCTTACCTGTTGGCTGTAAGCACTGTAATAAACTCCCAAGAAGATCACACAAGTTGTGGTCAGAGGCTGGAGTGTTTGCCAAGTTTCTGTCTGGGATAGCTGCTGAAGGATTTTTTTCAGACTTGTCTCAAGGAAGGGCTGTAAGCCTGACACTTGACTCCATGCCACTGGAGGAGGTGGGATCGGTTCATTATCTTCTGAGTTATTGCTGAAACCCAGTGGAAGAATGACACAGGATACCAAAAAAATACCAAACAACTGTCTCTCTAAAGCATCAATTTTAATAGAAAGAAGTAGTCTAGAAAATTATATCCAATAGCACAACTAGGGGAAAAGTCCTTGCATAGTCCCACAACCCAGACCAAATAATTAAGGCAGAAAGGATAAATGTAGAATGTACTTTAAAAAGCTGAAGTTTCTTCTCCTGCACTACTCTGCCCCTGAGCTACACTCTAGCTTTACCAGCATTGCTACCTCAGTACTCAGCTTTAGTTAAAGAGTTTCTTGCTTTCCACCAGAAAAAGTACCTGTGTTTGCAACATATCCTACTGCTTTGATGTTTACCAAAACCAACCACCTCTTAATCCTGACTCATCTTGGCTTCTGCAGAGAGGTTCTTTCCTCCAAATCTCAAGACATTTACTTCCTTTACTCCCAAGAGAAGTTCCAAGCAGCTTACTAGCTCCTTTCAGCAGGGCATTTGGCTTACAGTGCCCTTTATGCCCCCTAGCCTAATGCAGATTCTGACTCCTGCCTCTGGCCATGCTAGCAGGCATAGCTGTCAGACCAGACACTACTTCTGACCTTGTGTCAGAGGGAATATACCCCACCAGGATGCATGCAGGGGCTCACATGTGGGACACTAAACAACTGAAAATGAGGGGGAAAAAAAAGGTGACAGCCAGGTCTCCAAACCAAAGAAAGGGAAGATGGGATGCCAACTATTGAGATGCACAGAATGGTGACTTAAAGAGCCTACCTGCTCAACTTGGCCTGCAGCTCTGCTGCGTATCCTGCTGTTTGTGTCACATGTGTCAACAGAGTAACCACTGCTGCAGCTCGCTGCACAGACAGCTCAACCGCAGGGCTCTTCCCACTGAGCAACTCCGGCAGCGACTGCAGGATCCTCACCAGCACAGGGTAGAGGTCACTGTAGTATGAATCACAGAATGCATATGGTTGGAAAGGGTCTCTGCAGATCATACATACTTCAATTCCCTGTTCAAGATAGGCCAGCAAGACCAAGATTGCATAGGGACATATCCAGTTGGATTTTGAATATCTCCAAGAATGAAGACTTCAGCACCTTGCTTTGCAACAATGCTCCAGTGTTTGATCACCTTTACAGTAAAGTTAGTAAAGATTACAATAAGAATACTTCAGTGGAATTTCCTGTATTTTCATTTGTGCCCATTGGCTCTTCACTTTCCACTGGAAGAATCTGGTTTTATCTTCTTTATGCTCTCAAATAACTTATTTATAAAGACTGTTAAAATTTGATTATGAGAACCATCGCCACTACCACAATAACAAAAATAACTAACAAAGAAAAAAGATGACAAAGGAAGACTACTGCTATTCCAATTTCATCTGAATGGGACCTACCTAATACTCTGCTTCCATGCACTCTGATTATCTCTTGAAAAAAATGCTTTGATTTTACTCTTGCTGGGGAATAGTTCTGAGATTCTCAGCCACACTTATAATCTTGCAATGTTAAGGAATCATCTGCTGTTTCTTTCCTCAACATTATTTACACTGCTAAAATAGTATATACAGTTTTTACTCTTTTTAAATCATACATCAGACAGTGCCAAAGAACACAAAATGCTGCTGTGGATGGGAATTTCCCTTCTGAAACTCAATACTGGCCTCCCTTTTACTCCACTTTAGAGCAATTCCACAGCCATCTCTCTTCTTCCAATTACAGGAAGCAGATTTAATGCTTGAGGCAGGTCAGACCTACACCAGGTGCAGATCTTGGCAGTCAAGCACAAGAACTTCTCCTGACCTGGAAGTCGATGCATCATGAAGTTTGTCTGCACCAGTCTGCCCCACTCAGTGTGGTGACTGCTGCCCACAGACTGCCCCTAGGTCAAGCACATTCAGTCCTGGGTGTGCTGCAAACCACGTGTTTTGATGTCATACAAGCACAGATTATTCATCCCTTCAAGGAGAAAAATATGCAGCCCTAAAAAGCTACAGTGGTCTCCCACTGTAAAGCAGAAACAACAAAATAGCAGAGCTTGAACACAGGAGATAGTGAACAACCAGAAGAAAGCAATACACAGCACGAATGCCCTCAGAAACTGAGTTTTACTGCAGGAGGCAGGAGAAAGTGAGGTGAGACACTTTGAAGGGAATGGAGACTGAGCCTGGAGAGCCCTCTCTGCCCCCTGAGCAGGGTGTCCATTGCTCTGTCGTGCCCCCATGCCAGGTGTGCAGGTGGGAGCTGTACCTGTAGAGGTCGCAGGCCTGCCCGTAGGCGGCAGCCACCGCCCACAGGCGGAAGGCTTCGGCGCTCAGCCGCACGGCCTCCTCCCTCGGCAGGGGCACGTCCACAGGCTCCTCAGCGACAAAGCGACTCAACCGACTCTTCAGCTCAAATTTGTTAAGCTGTGAAACAAACCAAGCAAAAAGAAAAGGATGAAGAACAAAAAAGACAAAGGGATAAGGGGCATCAGCTGCATGCATCATTACCTCATTGCTCTGACACACACAAAGAGCTGCAGATTTCAATTCAGCTCGTTCTGAGCTCTTCTTGCACTGCTCAAATCTGCTTTTATTTTGTGTGATCTTAAGGAGCAGACTACAAAGGATCACTAAATGGTCAATGGCTATTAAGAGAGAACAATTCCTGCAAGAGATGCCTAGGGGTACCTAATCCATTCCTAAGACAACTATACTTAAATAATTTCTGATGGAAGTTTGTCTGCCCCACACACACTCCTGTTTTGGATGCTCCCTGAAGCATTTAACTGATTTAAAAATATACATATAATTATCCTTCCTTAAATAGTCATAAATACAACTGTCTTAGTCAGGCTTAGTAAGGATATATTTTGTGAGAAAAGATGTCTACAAAAGTACTGAACTGATGCTGACATTCTTTTGGGAAGGTCACACTAGATGGGTTTCAGAGGTTCTACAATTTAAGTATTTCTATAATTCAGTGTTTATTTTATGCAAAGGGTACCTCCTGCCTATTACTTTCATAAGGTTATGGAATTTTGATGCCTTGGAAATGTTCTGAGGTTATTTTGGTATTGAATTAGGCATGACATGACTCATTTGCAGTTCTCTAGAAATAATTTTTATCCTCCCCTACATCTGGGTATTTTTACTTAACCATAAAAAAAGAGCTTCTCTTTCCTTCTCCCACACATACAAAAGCTTCTATGTGCTCTGTCTAAACAAATGAGGCAACAATGTCTTTTTCATAGCACAAGGACATATTATAGGTAATTTAAATTTCAAATGCTTTAGAGATTCTTGTAAGGAAATCAATGCACACCAGCAGCAAGAAAGCAAAGGAGCTGATGAGTCAAAACTATAAATTCTGACACCTCTTCTATAGAAGAGAGGACAAAGTCAAATTTACTTCCAGGAGGAAGATGGAAGACCTTTGTTGACAGCTAAAATAAATTTCTACATTGATGGTTTTGATTTAGTTTTTTATTATCTTCCACTCCCATGTTTAATTGCATGCAACAGAACATATGAGAGTGTAACAGTAGCAAAGCCTGAGTGTCAGGAACCTTCTAAGCAATTTTTCCACACCTTGAAATACCTGGAGTACATAAAACCTGAAGTAGAAAAATATCTGAATTTTACTCTGTTATGTTCCTAGCATGACTTAAAGTCTTTCAACATCCCACTATCCATCACTGTTCTCTATACTTTACAGCACAGACTGGTGTTCTGTTGACAGTAGCATTTTCCTGGGTAGCAATTTGTTAGGTGCTGTTAACAACAGTGAACCAAAAAGCCTAAGAAGTGCTCTTTGCACTGTAATGGGTGCTGTTCTTGGTAGGTTTCATGCATTTATAGCACCAGCATGACAACCTATATGAGGGAATTCAATTACCTCTGAAGTGGAAAACTTGTCCAGAAGTTAAGAGGAGTTGAAAACACTGATGAATTATCACAGTTACTAACACAAATTAATGGCAGAAAAGTTCAACCAGGTTTGAATCACAAGGATAGTGATTAAGTCTCTGGTTTATACTGTATTTTGCTGCCTATCACTGAAACATGGGAGTGTACAGAGCATCACACATCAATGCATGCTCTAAACATCTGTTCCTGGTCAGTATCACCCTGCTGGGCACTGTGACTTTCACATCAGTGCATTACACAAACCATAAAAAAGCAGAGTAAAACTCAAGCCAGCTCATCTACCATTGTACAGGAGAAGCATCATTTTTATGACTCTGTCAACAATTCCATCAAAACATACTAATGCACCTTTCTCGCCCTGATTTCTTCAGCTTCAGCTCAGTCACCTCTACTTAGCTTTCTGTCTTTATTTAGGCAGTAAGGCATAGAGAACCAAGGCCTGTGCAATCAGAAAAGCTCTTCCAGGAACCACTCACCAGCCTGGCTGTTGCATTTCGGCCTCCAGATGCCAAGACCCTGATGAACTTCATAGCACTGGCACAAGCAATTCCGTGGAGACTGGTAAGTAAAAACCCTGGTTCAGCCACTTTGGGATCCCACTGAGTAGGGAGAAATTCCCTGACAATGGTCTCGATCAATCGAGGACAGTCAAGCAGCTGCAGAGAAATAGCAGGGAGCACAAGTAACTAAAGGTTCACAGTCATGCAGACGTGCAGAAGACATGCAAAACAGACAAGTTTGTCTGATCTCCCTGGCATAACTTTACCTGATCTTTCTTCCCTTTCCAAACCTTTCTCTATGATTCCCAAGCTCTTATACAATGGGAGATTTACCTGGCTGCATGCCTCAGAGGAGTGCCTTGCTATATGTGTGAGGATGTGCAGTATATCCAGAACTACTGATGGAACAGGTCGCACCACCTCTAGGATGTACCTCAGCCGGTGCTGGATCCTTGTCTTCAAAAGTCCCTGAAAGGCGTTAAAAAAAAAGAAAAAAAAAACATCTGTAAGGATCTAAACAAGTGCTCTCTGTTCTTCAATTGCTGGAACCCAAAAGGAGATTACATCCTCTGCAGAGACTGTTTTAAAATTAGCAGTCATGAAACAAGTTTCTGTGTATTTGCAAGTACGCTGGCAAATGAGCAAGAGTTATCTAACAGAGCAGAAACAGCTTTAGATCTGTTCTGAATCAGACCACTGGAGGGGTTTGGATACTTGTGTTTTCCAGAGTATAAAACTCTAAGTGACAGGGAAATAATCTTCCCTATAAAAGAAAAAGGCTCTTGTGGTCCTTGAAAAATTTTGGTTAGACACCACCTCCAGCTAATGCAGCACCCTGAGAGTACCTGTCACATCAGAGAAAGTTGACAGAAACAGAGAACAGACACAAATTCCTATTTTGCAGTAAGAAAAGAGATGCATAGGCATGATGTGATTTTTATGATCAGTGGCAGTGCCAAGAAACAAATCATCAATTTACATAACAGTGTGATGCAGATCTTATGGATTTGCCTTTTCCCAGAATCAGGAATGCATTCATATTACTGATAATTTTAAAAATTTGCAGCCAAGCATGTTGTAGCTCTAGGCCTGACCAAGTTCAGCAGCTAGCTTAAATACTCTTTTTTCAACTGTGTGGAACAATTGGGTTGTAACAGCCAATAAGCGAGCATGAAATGGAACTGCACAGCAATGGGAACAGAGGGGAATTTGGTCCCAAATACCTTCTAAGTACAGCCCACTCAGAACCATGACACAGATCACAAACTGATCTCCTGTCTATCTACCACCCTTTTGTTACATTTTTTAAACAGTGCCACACACCTAGCACAACACATCTGAAATCATGAAGCCTCGAAACAAGACCAAATGCTCAAGTACAGTAATTCATGCACCCAATGATGCTTTTAGACCAAGTGCTGTTCAAACACAAGCTCAAGGATTAAGTCATGTGGTCACAGGTTTTAGTGATTGCAGCGGGCAAGAAGGGTGCATTGGTTCCACCAAGGCTGAGTTTCAAGATAACAAAGTTTGCTGGTTTTACATCTCCTATGAAAAATACAGGATTAGGTTTAAAATGTGGGAGGAGTTCATTCTGAATACTGTAAAAATCTTAATCTGAGAAATGCAAATGACATTTGGGGAAATGGTAAATAGCCACCTTATGTCAAATAAAAAAGAAGAGCATCACTGTACAAATCTACTAGTTCTGAACTATGTAACTGTAATATTCTAGTTTAAATTCTGAAAAGTGCATATAGACATTTTAATAATGGCTGGAACCTTTTTATTTTTAATTCAAGTAAGTGAGCCTGAAAGTCGTGTCTGCATGCAGTCTTTCAGGACATCTTATCAGGTCATCAGTGTGTTTGTTGCGGAATTCCCTAGAGGAAGTTAAGAGATATTAATAATACTGAAATCACACAAGTCAAGCCTCAGCATTTTTAGAGACCAATAGAATTATCCTCCTGGTAATATATGACAGAAAAACAATAACCAACAGCCAAGAAAGAGTTCTAATTCTTGTTCAGAATGCTCTTGTCCAGCATGCACAGGAGGGTGGATGTTTCAACAGCACATACAGCACTATGCTGAGCCTATTTTCATAAAAAAGATTCTGGATCTAACTCTGTACTTACCTTTACAACATCATATCGGGCCACATCTGGGTCTGGCTTGTTTTCATCCTTTAATTTTTTATTTTGAGATTTCTCTGTTCCATTTAAGTCTTCCTCTTCCTCCTCTTCTTCCTCCTCATTGTTAGGGACAAAGGGGAATGCAGCCATCCCTTGGTACCATGAGAAAGTCCAATCGAGATATTTCTAGAAAGAGTGTTAAAGCATACAGAATAAAATTCTCATCAAGAAAAACAAAAAGACAAAGACAAAAACTTTTCAGGGATGCTTTTGAATATGGAATGCTTTATTGATTCCTTTATAATCCCAAGAAAATGTGAAGACAATAAAAGCTATTCTAAACATATAAAAGGAGAATTCAATGCTTTTTCAGGGAAATTATTTTGGCCTTACACACACACAGACTTGGAAAAACCCTGCAAAAAGAATTACTGTGACGTGAATTAAATTCATTACACAGCTAACAGAAATCTAGTTTAACTGGGAAAAAAACAGGATTATAAATAAGTAAATAAATAAATAAAACAACTACCAAGGCTCTAGGCATTAAACAGAAATTTATTGGCTTCCTACTTTCAGACCTCTGGGGAACCTAGGTCACAAATAACACAGAAAAATCATGCAAAAACTGATATGATAAAGACTACTTGGTCTATTTGTTCATGTTTGCTACACTTTTGTTTGAACATCCCTCAGCTTAAGCAATTAGAAAAACCTCTTTGTTTTGTTCACAGCTGATGAAAGTGTCAGGGCCTCTCAAGTTCTAGGGTAACAGCCCAACTAGGGTAATAGTTCCAATTCTTCAGAGAGGTGATTGCTCCCATAACAAACCTACTTCCCCCCAAATGTTTTAGACTATGAAAGACAGCCAAATCAAATACTTGCACTGCTTAATAACTGCTGTAATTTTCTATTTCCCACACCCACAATCAGAAACAAACACCACATTAGAAGAATAGTAGTCGCAGACTTCAATTGCCAAGTACCAAGGAAGCACAAGCTATTATCAGACATCAAAACATCCCCCAATGCAATATGAACTAAACATGATGAGTGAATGGCATGGTCAGAAGAGGCCTGACTTGAGGGGATGAAGCCATGAGTCCATCTGGAATACAGAGTTTGGGACTATAGTCTTCCTTCCACCAAGAGAAGGGAAAGCATTAAGATGAAGTAGCTGGGTCATCAAATGAAACAAAAAGGAAGTTGCTTCCTTCCCATAGCCATTGAAGTATAAACAAAACCTTCAGACAGTGTGATTTTCATGTGTGTTGATCTTCTGTGTTTATAGTGTGGATAAATCCTCTTTGCCTTAAAAATCCTGGAGCAGAGGACCAGGCTTCCAACCCTGTCCCTTTCTCAGAGACCTTTTGAAATTCAGCAACACTGGACTGTAGGAAGGACTCTTTGGGTTAGAAAATATACTGACACAGCATTCACAGTGCTGCTTCTGGCAGCAAGAGTCAGCAATCCCCACGTACATAAAACATCTCACCATAAGCTTTGATCTGAAAAATCAGAGCACTGCAGACACTTATAAACCAGAGTAACATCAGAGAAGAGAAAAAGTACATTAAGAAGCTGATTCATAGAACTAACTACCTACGATGGGCGGGCAGGACTCATCTGGGCTTATAGATAGAAAAGTAGCAAAATGTGGAGAAAGCTACCTACTCCTTCATTTCTCTTGCCTCCCACTAGGACAACTCCACAGGCCTGGCAGGGTACTTCTACCCCATCTCTTCTATCACCAGCCCCTTTGCAGTTAAACAGAAAAGCAGCTCTCAAGGAAGGTACTTGGAAGACAATCTATGTCAGACTGCTTCTGTCCAACCAGGAGTACATCTTAATCTGGCTGCTCTAGGCTGTCTAGTAGCCCTGAAAATCTACAAGAAGTCAACCTTCTAACAGGTGAAAAAGCATCAGTGAGAAAATAAACATACGAGCAGGCAAAATTAGGTATGCATGAGTGTTACAAAAACACATGGGAAGAGCAGAAAATGGGACAATGAGAGAAAAAGAGAACAGCATTATTATGAGGCATAAAGGAAAGCACGGAGAATATTTAATCTGTTAAGAAGCAGAAAAACTATGAAATAAGAAAACAACCAAAGGGAACATATTAAAAAAAATTTCTACACATACATTAGTGGTGATCTGATCTAGGTTGCAAAGATATAAAAAGAAGAAACTCAGCAGCATGCACTGAATTTAATCATAGGGCAGAGATAATTCAAACAGTGAGAAAAAAAGATACCTGAATCCCTCAAACTGGGATAACACACACCATCATCTGTCTCAAAGGACAGCAATGACAAATTCTACTCACCATTAAGCTAACATGTCCAGTAAACCTTTGTTCAAGCTACTTACAATGTGTCTTCTCATTCTGATCCCTGTAAACAGCTCACCCTAAATCAAACGTAGGCTCTGAGTGATGATCTTACCTCATCATCAAGTGACACCAGCAGAGCCCGGAGAGCACCAACAGATGCTGCCATGACATTTTCCACCGCATCATCCAGCGAGAAGCGCAGCAAGAAGAGAAAGCCAGCATCAAGCAGCAGACGCAGAACACTGCCCTTCAACGAGGAAGCAAACTCTCCAGCCCTGGCCTGGAAAGTGCCAGACAGAGCCAAGGTTAAGGCTGTGTCATCTCAGCTGGATACATCTCTGGGCTGTCACATCTCAACATTTTACATCTTTGCCTCTTTCCACTTCTACTGTAAAGCTGCTGAACTGTGTGAAAGTTATTCTTCCTATAGTTTATCCTCCATTCATTCTACAGAAGAACACAATTGAAGTTCCTTAGTGTAAGAAACCCTTCTTTCTAAAGTCTGCACTCATCTTTTGACTTCATTGTGTTCTGCTCCATCACCCTTCTCAAAACCACCAAGTCCCTTCTTCTCTATTCCAGTGCCCTTAGAGGGAATGTTAGCACTTCCCCCAAAAGTTAGGTAGAAATGTGCACAGAAGTATTCATTTTGCTTTTTCCCCTTGGCACATTGCTCTATGAGTAGGCTTGGCTCTTTCTCACCTCCTACAGAAAATGCACATCATGAAGCTGGCTCAGACAACAGGAGTGAAAGGGTCAAAGCCAAAAATAGGCTTGTCACAAAAATAACATTTAAAAAAATCAATGTGCATCCAAATTAACAAGAGAACTGAAATTACACCACTGCTGCTGAACAGCACCTGAAACAACCTGTTGGGAGAACAATAGTCTGGAATTATCCAGAGAAACCTGCATCTCAGTTTGTTACATCCCAACACTTAGCTTATCTAACAGTAAGGATCCTCAGTGGAACAGAATGCCCTGTTGGTGACTTTGCTCATCTTAACTGAACAGCAGAACAGCAGAAAATAAACAAGTAGTACCAGAGAATCTGGGCCCTGATCCACCAGAAACTTGAGTTATGGGGAGAAATTCCTTGAAGTGACTTACCCTTTGAACAATACGACCTAAGACCTGCAGAGCCAGCGTCCTCTGTTGTGTAACTTGGCTGCGAGACAGATGAAAGAGCTCTTGCAGAGAATAACCAGCTCTCTAAATGGCAGGGGGAAACAAAAAGAAACCAAAAAACACCCTCAGCTACAGCTAAACACAGGCCCCTTAAAATAAGATTACCTGTAACACACTGCATAAGGGAAGATAAATTGCAAGCCAATGTTGTTTGCCGCTTTGTGGCAATTGCAGAAGAGATTCTAATCTTAGATGTCACAGGAGAAAACTGAACTTCTTAAGCGAAGGAAGTACGTGCACCTTTTTCCAACACCACAGAACTTTAATAGCATTAAAAGAAAAAGCATCAACAGTCTTCTGGAAATAATGCAGTTCATGCATGCAGACACGACTTGTCTTCAGGAGTTTGTTTCTAAAGAAAACTTACTGCACTTTTGGAAGGGTCTTTTATCACTAAAAAACTTGATACAAAAGGAATCTACAAGATCTAACACAGAAAACAGAAATGAGTACCTTTTCTATGATATTACACCCACCTACCTCTGCCTCTTCTCCATGGTGGTGCAAGCCTAGATGTGTTGGCAAATCAGCATCCGCAGGAATCAATTCTCCCTTTAAACTGAATCGAGCTTGCATTCTCTATGGCAAAAGGGTGGAGGGAGAAAACGATTATTTCTATTGCTGTCCACTCAATTCACCTCTTAAAATAACACTTTTTACATCACCTGCCGGAAGATAACAGTTCAAAAACTCCTCAGGCCTCAAATTCTTTTTTAAAAATATACCCCTATCTTTCCTTTTTTCTCAGTTTTACACCTTTTTCATCCCAGATTACAATGGCTACTCTCACTTCCTAGCTCTCCTGAGTTACTACAGACTGAACTGATCCTGTATCATCCCATTCGGTGAAAGAAAATGGGGAATCTTTCAACCTGACGAAAGTCCACAGACCGAGCAGTCAGAGGACTCATTTTTGAAGCCTTCAAAACTGTTACTGCTGAGAAGCATGATCCAGACACAGATATGCAAAGTATCAGTTTCTGCTTTCAAACCTTTTTGGTTTTCTTCTGCCGAGGTGAGGGCAAATCTTTCATCCATTCCAGCTTCTCAAACTCTACATTGTCCATGTGAATCCACTCCTTCCTGGGCTTCACAGGCAGATCATCATCTTTGTGTGGGAAGAAAGAAATGTCAGTCTTACCTTTCAAGGCAGTGATGAAGGAAATACTATTCCTTCTTTGCCAAGCTACTCAGCTTAAAGACTGTATCAAATATAAGATTATGTAAAATAAAAAGAAAATCTTTTTCAGACTGACTGTTGTCTAATGCACAAACATCAAAGGTTTAAAGCTATTTTCATCTTTCGTGAGAGCAAGAAGAGGAAGTAAACAGCACAGTAATGAAATTCAGACAATGCTAATTTAGGAGAAGTTGAACAGAAGTCAGGACACAAGTAAGGCAAAATTATCAGAACCAGTGCAGAAAAAATACTATCAGTCATACTTTTGAGAAAGGAAACTAGTATCACTCAAGGAATAGTGTTTGGGGGGACATGAAATTGAAAAGTATTAAAGCAGAGTCCCAGCAAATTATAGGAACCCAGCAAGATTGTAGCCTAGATACACTGAAGGCAGCTCAATATTTGTGCTTTGGTTGCATTTGTGATGCTGCTATTCAGTATCCCTCTCTAAAGGCTTGAAGAGATCAGCTTGGGAAGAAAAGATCAAAACAGCTGAAAATTTGCACAGCTTTACACAGACAGCTCAGTGGGGAAACTGGACAGTTGAACAAGAATTTCAAAGGTGCAAATACTAAAGGAAGAAATTACTAATTTAGCTTTATAAAGAGCTTTGACTACAAGAATTTGAGAAACAAGACATTCATTGGTGCCTGACATCACAACAGTTGCCCTAGGAAAGAGACACATCACCATGTGGAAGAATCTCACAAGTGAAGAGACCAGAGAGATTTAACCAGGGAAGGCAAGGCTTTGCTACTAGGATACTACCCCAAACCAAAATAAGAAGAGATGAGCTAAAACGTTTTTGTTATCTCAAAAGAAAGCACGTGTAAGGACAGTAACAGGCAGCCCCTAAGGGCATGGAAAGCATTAGCACCACTCCTGCTGGAGCAGCCCAGAACTCATCTGCATTGCAGCTATTAATCCCAGCACTCCGGTCTTCTCTTGCAAGGAACAACGAGTCCCACAGAGATGCTCTTCTTTCATCAGATCTTTTCCTGCTGATAACTGGCCTGAAACTTAACCTTTTACTTTCTTCCAATTAGCAGATAAACTTTCAAGAAGGGCACTCATCCTCTCCAGAATGAAGCTTCACCCTTATGATCAATGTGGTATTGCATCAGGCAAGGAACCAAGCACAGAGTTATCTTGCTCAGCCAGAAAGCTGTTCTGCAGAATTTCAGCCAAAGGCTCAGCATGCATTTTAATTGAAGTGAAGGAAAAAGCATCTGAAATGTACCAAAGTGGAATGTTTGTGGGTGGTAGATGCAACATGAGAGGAAATAGAATCAGCAGAAAAACAAAATATATCGACACTTGTAATTTAACAAAATGTTTTCTCTATTAATCACTAAATTGACAGGGTTGAGCTAATCATTTTATGAATAAGATTATGCTTGTTACTAGAAGCCCTTAGTACAATGATCTTGTCAACAAGAAAAGATGGATATGTATTTCAAGGCATCAGCAGACTGTTACTGAGAAATCCCTTTACAGAAGCACAAGCTGGCAGTGTGAACGCAACATTTGCACTGAACTTTCTCAGACTTGGGTTACATTAAAGGCTACCACCCAACCACTCCTCTTTTTGCTTTGCTTCCTGTTTTCTCTCAGTGACAGAATTTACTTTTCCATTTGATAAGGTTACAAGTTGCTGGATAAAGCTTTCCCTATTTTGCCTCTAAAAAACAGTAGCCTTTTATGTCACTAAAGGCAGGTTTGACTTTTCAGCAATCTTATTGCTTTGTGTCATCACCAAAAATTCAGTGTGACCATTTCTGCTGGGCTATTCATGCTGCATTTACCTCTGAGTATAAACAGATGCTGAAATTCCAACAATAAGTGCTAATGTCAAATTAATTTTTACATCTCCTAATGGACAAAATGGGCTGCAGACATAAACTACGGTACTGAAAAGGCTTCCCTTGTTTTTTTAACTGTGTTTCAGCTCATCGTTTGCTGCTCCAAATATCCTGGAAAAACTCCTCTTTTTTTCTGTGCTGTCTTCTATAGGAGGCAAAAGATGTCAGCACACAATGTTTTAAACACTCAGCTATTCCCAAGAGCATTACTATTATTACCATTACAGGCTGAACAACATGCTTCTATTGCTCTCAGGAGATGAAAAGATGTCACTTGACCTGGTGCTATTTATGCACTCAGTTGTTCTGGGACTAAAAAGAACTAAAAATAGTCCCTTTAATTAAGATGGATTTGTGGAAAAGTAAAACTTGGGGAGAAACGGCAAAAGGACTGTTCAGTGAAGTGTCTTCCTCAAAAAGAGGCTGAGCTTTACTTATTGTGCACATGTACACACACACACATATACACTGACAGACTCATCCCTCTCAGCAGGAAAATGGTAAATACTTGTTATCTCTTGCAAACATCAAGCTGAAATCCCAAAGTGATTCAGAGACTTCTTTAATCACTCTGCAGGTTACACTGGAACACAAAGGATGCATTAGAAGAGAGGATCAAGAGATGGAGAAAAGCAAAAATTGACATGAAATTGCAGGACAAGTATGTTAGGAACAAAAGTGGGGGGGAATGACAATGGGAGCTTAAAAATCACAACAGAGAAAACGAAATTGCTAAAGAAAAAATGCAGTGAGGAAAGCAACAGTAAGAGCAGAAGCCTAAATGGAAACCTAGTCCTTTCTGTGCCATGAGAATATACGGGGTTGCTCTAGCTACTGAAGATAAAGCAGCTTTCTCCTCACACAGGCACATACTGAGCATTAAAAGGTTCTGTCATAAGAGGCAATAGTTCAGCAGCACTCCATGAAAAGCAGGACATTCTACATCCAAAGCACAAAGAAAAGAACCCTGTTCTGTGAAAATCACTGGGTGGTTTCTGAGATACAAGACACAGAGGGGGGCCATCAGGAGCAATGTCACACTAAGACATACATACTCTATATGAGCAATTTCCCTGAAGTGAGAGTGATTGTCATCTCTGTGCTATCCTGTGAACAAACTGTTAACCCTTACCTACCCAACACACTCTTGTCTCTAACCAGTACCAGTTAAAAGAAATTATTCAGGCACCAGCTGAATCTCACTACTACACTCCTGTTTCCTTGTTCACATGACGGAACAGAAGAGCAATGATGCCTAGTTTAACACACATTTTCCCTTGAGAAGCCTTAGAACAAATTTCAAAAAACAAGATCTCCCAATAACAGGCCACTTCCATTACATAGTGTACCACCTTTCTAATTTGTGGAGCCCATCTAGAGACGTCTTTTTTGAACCCAAAATACATATTTTTTAAATATAATGATAAAATTCAGATTTGGATCACTACAAAGTAGATTGATGTAAACACCACACAAATCTTGTATTTCTGCTCAGAAAATTTACCATATGCACTTTGTTTCTTACCCATGATTTCTACCTTCATATTTTCTTCCTTCCTTACATGTTCTTCTAGACCTGACTCCTGCATGGAAAGAGATGATCTTACACCATGCTGAGCCACATGCCGAGATTCCACAAACTCCTCCGGTCTGTTCAGTTCCATTTTTAACTCCTTTTTCTGGCCTTCATTGTTACCACGTTGTGATTTCAAGAAAGCAACTAAACTGGGATCTGCAAGTATTGACAAAGAGACAGACAGAGATGTGACAGAAAGTCTCAAAATACTCCACATGCCTATAGCTTCTGCTATTTATGTTTCAGTCTTTTCTACATGTCCTCTTTCTCTTGCCAGCTGTCACTTCTCCTCAAACTAAGGCCCTCCACTGCTTCATGACCCCTTAGACACATAAGGTGGGTGTAACTGTCTGGTGAGGAGACACCAGAGAAAGAACTGATGAATGTCTTTCAGGGTAAAGCAACCACAAAAATTCTATTTTCCCAACTTACAAATAAAGATAACTGCTTCTTTTCCCCTCACTGCCACTCAAATGGGACATCTAAGCATGACTATAAACTGTGGAGAGAATTCTGGTCTGTGGCATCAATCTGAACACAAGAAGAATACACACGACAGACCCCATAAAAAGAATTAGCTAATTTTTATTGAATTGCAGTAGAACTGCAAGTTCTAGCTCAGATATTGTGTTACAAAGTGATCTTTGACTGTCCTGAACTGACTTTCCATTACAATTATGGTCTGACAACACCCAGAAAAATGACACAGCCATTCTCTTCATGCTTTGAAGAGAAACATTTGGGAGGTAGATGTGTTTTGAAGGACAGATTATGTTCATATAGCTCTAAGATCATCATTTTACTTTCAGATCTGCTACAGATATCCCACATCATTTTGGATGGAGTGCACTGTCTCTGAACACTCCTCTCCAAAACATGGTGTTGGGATGCTTATGTCAGAGGTGAACAGTGAGAGATTGTGCATTGTGCCTCAATGAGATACAGAAATACTCCAGTAAGCAGAAGCAGTGTCAGAGATATATAAAGTAGAACATAACACCTATTATTTATTTATTTATTTATTGGTGGTTATTTATTCTTTGGAGGACAAAGGACAAGCAGTTGAGAAATGCTCTGTACCTGAGATAAGTCATCTGAAAAATGACTCCCATGTCTCTGAAACACCTATCCCACACTCATGATTGCTGCACATTCTCCTCAATGATGCAGTTTAAACTGTCCTTAGTGAAGGACAGGCATTCAGCCCAGTCTCATTAAAGTACTCCTATTTTTTCTGAATGCAGGCAAGAGCTCTCACTTTCTTGCACTTCACTGTACAGACTATACACTGTACTCATTATTTCATCATTTTACTCAGTGACAAAAAAGTCACTGATGTCAATCTGTGCACAGTATATCAGAAACTAAGCCTACTTCTGTCCAGAGTCTCCACCAACAAAAGCAGCACAGTACCAACAATAAGACACTGCCCAGCACAGAGCTATGTACCCATTCTCATACTTCACACCACGGAGTATCCTCTGCTTCATAACCAAGAAGTTAATTCAGGGACAGGACAGCATTTAACATGCACAAATCATTCACATTCCCAAATTTGGAGAAAGTCTCCTTAATTCACAGCTCTGTGACTGTCCAGCTCCTAAATCCATCTGTAAGTCAGCAATTTAGTTTAGGAGTGTTTTATCATTTATAATTCTCTACCCACAGATATTCTGGGAATTCCAAAATTACCCCCTGTTTCTTTAAGGCCTCAAAAGACTAAAGTATCTACCCTTGTAATCTACAAGGCATATAAAAATACATTGCTTCAGAAAATCTTGTTGAAAAATATTTACACTACATCCCATTCTTTTTCAACTCTTTAAGTATTCACTAATATCCCAAAGGACAGAGTGGTGGGGATAAGGAGCAAAAAATCACAAATCACTCACAAGAAGCAAGTATGTAATCAGGGTATTTTTCATACACATGCCATAGTTATAAGCAGTGAAGCCAAATAAAATACTTGGGTCTCTGAATGAAGGATGGACCCAAACAATCTGGCTGCAATTATTTTGTGTAGTTCCCCTGCCACCTTTCCAGTTATACCACTGTTGCTTGCAATGAAGTCAAGATAATTAATATGATCTTTAAGCTGAACCCACAAGAGACTTATGCATCTAAAATGCCACTCATATTTAAATTTGATGCTAGAGGACCTGAAATCATGAGAATTTAAAAAATCCTTGTCTGCCACCTACATCTGTACATCTGCTCTTCCTGAGCATATAAATTCATCAAACTAACACCAGCAAGTGTTGCAGTGGCTCAGATCACATGAAGTCTTATCAAACACACCACATTCAGTGTTCTCCTCTACTTTGTCATCAGCTGCCAGTGACAGGCATTCTCAGAGCACCACTGTGGACAGGGCTCCAAACCAGAGACCAGACCCCTGCTAGAATATGCCTGTACCCAACAGTGTGAAAATTAAAACATTTTTTCTAAAAGTCAAGGCTAATTTCAAGTTTTTCTGCTCTACAAGTATCAGTTTCAACTGAAATCTCCCACATGCCCATATGTTCTCCCTATCCGGGTACTGACAGTTCTGGCCCAAGTTTTAGGTATTTTGGAGGGGAAGACCAAGGATTCTTTCTCACCTCAACATTGCTATGACACTGCTTCTTATCAGCTTCAAAAAATTACAGTTTAGGACCTTAAACATTTATGTGCAATCATGTATTTGGAGTGCAAATCAATAAAGTTCACAGATCATCTTAACCCACAGCAGAGGGGTGACAAGAAAGACTTAAGCCAAACCAACCTTCACTGAAAAATAAACACTATTTAACTTCTTCACACTTAGTTCTTACTCATAAGCTATTGACATGACATGGAAGCAAGATTATCCACACATGGAATGAGCAGGAATTCCAAGTTCCCATCCTTGACCTGTGAATTTGCTAAGACTTTGGGACACCTACACATTCAATAAGTTGCCTCAACTCTAGAGCTGACCCTGGGAAGCACATACCCAGCTGAGCCAGAAGCCTCGCCTGCTCCTGCAAGATCTCTTCCTCAGACATGGACTGCAGCTTCTCCAAGTTCTCTTTGTGAATAGCTTGAGCTTCCTGCTCACTCTTTTGGCTTCCAAGACCCTCTCCCGTTATGAGACAAGGACGCTGAGAGGTCAAAAAGTCATCATCTTTATCTATAAGAAGCAGCAGAGAAAGCAGTTAGTGATCTGTGTCTACAGCATCATGAATAAATCTCAACTCTGTCATTAACAGGCTTGCATAATTTTTTCCTTACCTTGGTAGTAAAGCTAGAACAGAAATAAAGAAGTTTAGCTTAACTTCAAACAAAACTAAACCATTTGTGCTTTCATTCCATGTTACAACAAACACGTTGACATAATTTCCAGCTTGTTTCTTTAGGAGCTTGAGGAAGATGGTAGGGGAAAGAAATTATGTTTCTTTAATGCAAAGCAACAGCATGAAAAGGTAAACTGCAGTATAATTCACAACTGATGCATCAGAGCATTCTTCCAACCTAGTGAATACTAGATCATTTCTCTGCCCAGGAATGCCTGAACCCACATTCGTATGTCAGCTGAACCATGACCTAGTAAATAGTTGCTGAGTAAGACAGAGAATTAGATGAGGTAAACCAGCTTCCAGATGATAAAGGATCAATTCTTAACACAGGCATGTTTGCTTCTAACAATGTCCTATAGTCACCTTCAAGAGCTAAACATATTAGAAGTTATAGCAAGGGACATTCCTCCTACTCTGAACAAAATTGAGTCTCCTTTATCATCTGATCTAAATCCATTTTAAATGTTCATTTCATTTAACAATTGCACCAGGTAACATGGTCCTTTGGTCAATGTGAGACCCTCCAACTCTTCTGTAACCCACTATACAAGGATCTGACTTTGCAACTTTTTTGCTTATGTTTTATTCATATGCTCCATATATTGACTTGGACCATCCCTATGCCCATAACCAGCCAGGCCTGAAAGCATCAAATCCCTGTTCAAACAGCAGCAATGACTCTCAACAAAACACCAGGAAGATTTGATGTCATTGCACAGTTGTTGTGCATATAGAGCAGAAAGAGATAAGACAGGGCGACCTGGCAAAAGCTTCAGCATACCTCCCACCACTAGCAATTAAACTAAGTATTACAACAAACAAATACGTTGTTACTACAAGAAATTAAGCTCCCCCTCTTCTCTTGCTTCTAGTGATCCTGCCACAACAGTCTGGCTGAAGAGGCAAAGGGATTTTGTAGTCTCTCTGTCATGTTATTACAGTTTAGAAGGGTTCATGTTCAAGAGGATGACAGCTATATGGCTGCTCTATCTCCCCTTCAGCTTTCTCAGACAGAATTATACATGTCCAATTATAAAAGGACATACACTAAACACAGTATAGTGACCTGGATGGTGGGTTTGTGCACACACAGCACATCTGGCAGTTCTCTTATCAACTCCCTAACAGGGGGCAGGGCTGACACAAACCTTAGCCTAATGGTGATAATCTTCAAATGACATCTTGCCTCTATTTCAATGTGAAAAAGAGCATGTCAGGGTAAAACCCAGACACAGGGTGCTCCTAAGCAAACTGGACTGCCCCAGACAACACAAATAAAAAAAAAAGCCTGGAGATGCTGGTAACAGTTGAACTGACTTCATCTTTCCCTGTCACGTTGCTGTCAGACAAGTAACTGCTGGAGGTGGCAGTGACTCATCAGCACTGCTTCACAGCACTCCTTATGGAGCAAAGCCACAGTCTCATGGCAGCAGATCTGGTGACAGAAAACTGAGCTTTCAAACCTTTCAGTAGGAGTGAGAACCCACATCACAGTGGTCTCAAACACTTTCAACACAGAACCACTCTCTTCCCAAAATTGTGGAAATCAGTGATGAAACAAGAAAAACTTTACATATAACAAACAGAAAGGGAAAGGAGGACAAGAACCTTGAAAAATAAATCTAGCTCCCTGTGTGAAGTAAAAAGGAAACCAGGGAGAAAGCGAACCAAATTTTTAGAACCATCTCAGAATTTTTTCCTTCGAATTTTTTGTTTGGATCTCAGACCATCTCAAATCACAGCCACAATAAAGACATTCCAACTGACCTTGAGATTCCTAAACCGAGGACAGCAATGCTACCCTAATTTAAAAACGTGGTGCGCCGACGTTACGGCTACTAAGACTATGTAAATACGGGCAGCTGGATGAGCAGAACCTTCTCCACTTACCACCCCTGCTGCCGGGGAGAGGCGCCTCGCCCGCGGATCCCACAGGATCCAAGGCATCCGGAGCAGCTGATCGTACTTCCACGCACTCGGCAGCAGAGGGAGCCGTCGCTGCCTTTTCAGCAGCTCTTTTTGCTGCCATCTTCTGCGCAAAGATGCTTTTTTTTCCAGATCCCAGCTGCACCTGCGAACGGGGAAGCCACGTACTCACTTTTCTATCCAGAGTCTCCCTACGCACCTGCCATTAACAGGTGATGTGATCCTAAAGACACCTCCAGATCAGACTTTGGGACACGATATAGGGAGGTTGCTGGCAGTCACCTGTCCCTTTCTGTGCACATGTGAATATTTTTTAGCACACAGTTTACTGCTATGACAGAGAGACAAAGACATGGATGATTTGGCATCTAGAGAAGAAAGATGATTAATTATAAGTGAATTCAAGCAAGGAAAATACATCTAAAATGTCACCAAACACAATAGTTACAGCTTTCCTGCTGTTCAGAAGCTCTGCATAGCTGAATACCTTGGATTTCTGAGTATAAATGGGCTGTACTTCACTGTGCTCACCACATGCTTGGAACAGGCTTCTTATAAGATGATTAGTGAGCAGCAGGGTGAAGAGATCTACACAGTAAGAAGTGGGCAAGTAGTGCTAAAATAATCCTGGTTAAATTACTGTGTTGCTTGCCTAGGTAATGGAAGGGCATGCCTCTGAACAGCCTTGCACAGGGGATGCACAGGAAATCCAAAGGAGACTAAGCAAAAAATCTCTTGCATGTCTCCAGTCCAGAGAAGAAGCTTAAAAGGCAGTCTGAACATTTGGTAGCTGCTTTGAGTGCTTCTACATCAGATAAGCAAAACTGGTAGTTTAAAAAGTATTACTCTCACCTTTCAAAAAAGCTGTCCTTCAAAATAATCTACCTCCTCAAATCAACCACAGCTGTCAATCACATACCAACTCCCAGCATCTGACTCCCACTCAGTTAGCAGTCCTTGCTACTACAGCAATGACTGATAATAGCAACCACGGCTTCCAGTTTTACAGCCTCAGAAAATAATTATGTCAAAACCAAAAAGCACTGCTAAAGATAACCTGACCAACCATACTCAAATGTTATGGAGGAGAAATCAGGTGGGGTTTCAATAAGAACCTGGTGGACAAAGCAACAGAGATTGCTCCTCAGATAAAAACAAGCAGAACAGGATCAATTCTATTACAGCACTGCAGATTTGACCCACCTTTATAAAGTTAGTCGAAGAAGGCTAAACTAAGAAGATTCCAATGTTACTTAACTGCAGGCTATGGAGTAGCTACTAGTTGGCAGCTTGGTAGAAGAACTCTCTTCTTCCCTCAGGTGGAAATGCCACAGACATGTTGAGCTAGCTCATAATCTTCAGCATACTAAATTGGTTATTTTGAGCCCTACCAAGCCCCACTAAGCATTAGGATTTAATGGGAGAAAGTTTAATTGTTAACAAAGGTAGCATAAAACATCTGCTCCTAATCTTACCTCACTTTTTATCTCGGAGCGGTGAAATGTCCTTGGGAATGGGTCTCCCGTGGGCACTGGCATGGTCACTGCTACTGCACTGGTGTCTCGTTCCTGAAGAAAAAATTCAAGCCCTGTAAAACCATTGCAACAGCCAGACATGTTTGTATATTTAACTGAGAGCAGGCTCAAAATCTCCCAGCTCTGCAGCTCACACTGTCATCAGGCTCAGAATACCTTGTGCTTATTCAGAGACAAAGTGAGGCTATTTTCCAAAAGACTGGGCTGCCAAACTCCATGCATCACTCAAAGAATCAGATAAAGGAAAACCTAGGCCAGTGCAAAGCACAGAGCACATCCCCAGTAGAGTCCAGAAACTCACCCAAATCCACACTACAGCACATGCCTGCATGCAATCAGTGTGACCTGTAGGCAGTCAGGGCTGGAAGGCAGATCTGAAACTATATTTAACTGACAAGAAAAAAATACACCCAAAGAGCTTTTTTCTTTCAAGGTGCTCCAGGACACTGGTCTACAGTGCTGCTTCATTACACTGTAGAAATAAAAAGCAGCCACAGAGCCCTTCATCCCTGCTTAGTTCAGAGCATTCAAATAAACAAACACTAGATCATCACACAAAAGACAGACATACAATAATTTTGCTGAAGACTGCTGTAATATGTCGATCATGACTGTCCAATCTTTCCTCTGGATCTTCATCCTCGAAGTGGACACTAGCACTTTTGATCTTGGACTTTTTTGGAGGAGCTGGAGTTAGAGCTGGGAGAGTATCAGGAAAACCTAAGGAGGGGAAGCAATAACAAGGAAAACAAAAAGCAGTCAAGTTATTGTGTACAACCACTGTGCAGTAGGTACCAGACCAAAGCCTCCTAATACACCTTTTATTCCTCTGATGAGAAATAAAGATAAGGAAGCAATAAGATGCTTGAGTCCCCTGTCTCTAAGTTAAAGGGTGTAGTGAAGAGAAACATGCTTGAAGATTCTATTTATGTATTGGCACAAGGTCTTTCCAAAGAGTTCCATAAGCAGGAAAGGGTTCTGAGATCTCACTGCAAGTATTAAGGGAAGCAGCAAGGCTGTATAGAAACAAGTATTGTCCTTGCAGGTTGTGTTGAGGAATAATAGAGCATATTTCTGCTGCAAACTGTTAAATGTGAGGGATTTGTATGATCATGAACAAACTCCTTTCCACCTGCTATAAGCAGATCATATTTCCTCTACCTGGAACAAAGTACTGCAAGATTTATATTGCTGCTTTTAAAAAAGCACCTTGTGCTTCTGAGATCAAGCACATGGCAAAAGTGTTACAGCTACTATTGATAGAGAAAACAAAAACAAGCCAGATCTGCTGGCTGAAAACTGGAGCAGCTAGGAGAGGTAAATCTCAAAGACAATGGGTCTGGAGAGCTGGCAAAATAAGCAGTGAGAGTTCAACAGCACAAATTACAGAAAACACCTCTTGCTGGCAAGGTACCACAGACAGCTGATAAATGTGGACTAAGGCACCAAGGGTGGTTCTACTGGATGCCAGCAGCATCGGACAAGCCAATTTCCAAGGCTAAGGAATAAATAATACTGAAAGAAGGGCACAGAGGCAAGGGAAAAGCAACACCAGGTTGAGAGACAGAGAATCTTAGTAATTCAAAGAAACAAATGAATTTACCATCCAACATGACTACATCTTTGCTGTCCTGGAGTGGGGGTCTCTCAGCATCTGTGCTCCCTTCCTTCCCTTTCCTCTTGTCTGCTTTCTTCACAATCTTCACTGCAGGTGAAGCTCTGGCTGCCAGGAACTGGTTCTGAAAACGCAGCAGGTCTGCCTCGGACTCGCCAGGCTTTGGTCTCGACAGCATCCTGCCTTCCTGCTCTTGCAGCCCAGCCACACGTGCTTTTCACACAGGACTCCAAAACATGGAAAATGGGTAAAACAACTGGATTTCCTGGAGATAGAATGGAGACAGCACGGGAAAACTCATTTTTGTCCCACTCTTACGTTTCTGTACATACCACAGAACCCCTACTTCAGGATCACCCGAACACAAACACTTAAACAGGAGTCCCACACAAACGGAATCCTGCTCTTTACTGCTGAACAAAAGGCTACTTGACAAGCCTGCACAAGGTCTGTCAGCCAGCTAGGAGCACAATGGCATCCAGCCAGTAAAAAGACAGACAAAAAGTGCATCACTGCCAGAATGCCAACAAGACAGCCTGGGATTCGCAAAGTCAGAGTAACATCTTGTCCAAGATGATAATTGAGCAACTCAAATCCAACAGATTTGAGCTGCTCAATTATCAATGCCAACCAAGAATCTCAGAGACACAGTATCACATAAACATCCCCCTCCAGCATACCATCTCCTCCAGATCCCTGGCAGGATGCAAGAGACTGTCCACATAGAGCTGGACGATGAACTCCCTGACTCTTTGCTCTCCTTCTCACTCAGATCTCCCAAGTCAAAAAAGTCTTTCTCATGTAGAACTCCTGTTCTCATTCTCTTTCCTTACTGGCAGAAGCTGTGCTATTTCCAAGCATCTTCATTCACTGCTCAGGCCAATTTGGGGTTGAAAAACAACTGTGAGATTTATACAGACTTTTTCACACCATGCACATGACAACTCAACAGGAAGGCAACTACTCCACCTCCCATCTACCAGGCAGGAAAATATTGGTGACTCTTGCTCCCCACATCTGATTCCCAGAGCCTGGCACCAGCAATCCACTTCTCACAGGCAGCAAGTAAACTGTTTGCAAATACATTTCATTGTACTCCTAGCATAAGCACACACCTACTTGCTGTTTATTTATGGAGCTTGCTGCCACAACAGGGCTCCCACAGCCAGGCTTCACTTGCTTGGACCCTCTTTGATATCCATAAGGAGCAGAACACGCATCCAAAGCCAAGTGTTCCCTGCCCTGTCATCACAGCCTTCAAAGCCCAAAAGAGGAGCATGCCTGCTTTAACAGGCACAAAACACACAGTTGGAAGTAAACACTGCTCCTAAGCTTTCTGCAAGAAGCCTCCTCCACACACAGCTCTACATAAACTTCTCCAAGTCTCTCCCTACCAAAACTTGGTCAAGAAATACAGCGCCTCTTCAAACTGCCTTTGTTTCTTGGGAAAACTGTCAGCACAAGAAGACAACCAAGCAGCCACTGTTAATGAGGTTGGATGGGTCTTCCAGGAAGGCTTTGCTTCAACACACGTGGCACCTGCAGACAATGAATGCAGGGAAAACTCTTGGCTTTCTTCTCAGGGCACCTTTTCCCATGTCCCATGGGAGCCAATACAGCACATCAGCAACACTCCCTTGGCTGTCAGGAGTCCTCATTCCCACCCACCAGAGCTCAGAGAAAGCACACAGGACTAACAGACTAACAAACTCCTGAGGATCAGCACTAACCCCAGCATCCTGCAGCCTGCTCACCTCCAGCCTTGCAACTGGCTACTTAAAAGCTCACCATACACCATCTGTTTGCCAGGGATGGGACCTCCAGCCAGCCAGCACAAGCAACACACCGAGAGACTGTCCTAGGAACACAGGAAACGGATCAGAAATGCTGTCCAAGGACTATGAGCACCTCTGAACTCCACTACATAGTGATTGCTCTGTAAACTATCATCTTACTTGATAAAATCCAGCACTGGTAGGCTTTTTAATTTCTGGTGGTTTGTCTGCACTTACAGTGTATTTTTCTTCCTCAGCAGCAGAGCCCAACATGCAAAGGGAGACAGTTACATCTATGCACCAGACACAGTCAAAAGAGAAAATATGTATATGTTGAAGCAAAAAAATCCTCTCTGACTGCTACTGTCATTTGTGAACCTTGGGGAAGGCCTTTTTACCCATTCTCAAGTGTACAGTTTACATCATTTTGATAAAGTTATGAGATTTGGGCGAAAGAGGAATACAAGATCCTGCTGTCACAATTAGTGTCTCAAATTAACCTCTTCAGATCTTGTTGGTTGTGGCAAGAATTTAAAAGGAGAAGCAGAGAGTCTCTTGCTCTCAGTCTCTTCTGGGCAGCCCAGCAGGCAGCGGAAAAGCACAAATTCCCCACTTGAGATCAGCAGGCAATGAAAGCCTCACTCAGGATTATTGGCTCCTTTGCAAAATGGTGACATGCATTCTCTGCTCTGTCACAAAAATGCTTTCCACACACAATGCTGTAATGGCTAACAGTCTTCTTGACACTTTTACTTGCTACAGAAAAGGCAGACACTGGAAAGACACTCCTCACAGATGAAAAATCCCAGCCACAAGAGTCAACTGCTGCAAGAACTTCTCCTCAAAGAGGGTCCACATCTCATGCTGGTCACAGAAGACTCAGTGACTGTGACCCTGCCTGTCGGGCACACACCGTCTGCATGCACACAGCACCCTGCCAACAGAAACGCTGCTGTCCCAGCTTGTCTCGAGTCTCTGCAATAAACAGGAACCAGAACAGCGCAAAATAAAATTAAAAACAACAGCTGTTATTAACACACTGAAGAGATGATGCGTGCCAGCGTTCGCACCGCGTTCACAGCACTGATGGACTTACAGAAACTACTCTGAATCAAGTCTCAACCAGCCGACGGAGACTCGGCCTGGCAAGGCCTGTCTGACGTGGGCAGGGAGGGAAGGAGAGAGGGAGGGAGGCACAGAGCGGCACAGATCCCGCAGCCCCTCCCGGCACGGCGGGCATGGCCACTGCATCGGCGGCCGCGCGGAGCCCGTAGCCGCGCTCCTGTTTACACCAGGGTAAAGACCAAGTGCTGGGCCCCTGCCGGCTACACCGAGCGAGGCCGGGCCGGGCCTGCCCCGCCGCCGCCGCGGGGGTCCCGCGGGCAGGACAGGCCCCGCGGCCGCCGCAGCCCCGCCGCCACAGCCCGGCCGCCACTCACCTGCGCGGCGCCGCCGCTCCCGCCCGCGCTTCCGCCCGGCCACCGTCACTTCCGCCCGGCCCGGCCCGGCCCCCGGCTCCTGGCGGGGCCCTGGAGCCGCTGTGGGTTCGCCCTGCGCTTGTGCGGCCCGGGGCAGCTCCGCCGGTGCTACCCTGGGTCCCAACACCGGCACCTGCATCCCACAGCGAGTGTCTGCACACAGATACGCACTCATGTCCGCGCAGGAGCTGTGCCGGAGACCGGGCGTGGTTTGGGAGAGCAGATGCATAAAGCTCTGTGAACATGGCTGTAATTCATTATTCTTGATTTATTGTTTGTCATATGTGCCAAGCTTTATTAGAAACTATGAGAGAGCTGTCAGAACTTGCAGGAGCTTTGATTTTAATGTTGGTTATTGATTTTAGTGCTTGGTCAACTTTCAGCTCTTCTTACAGAACGAGTCAATTTTGGAAGGCACCACAGTTGATCATCTGGTCCAACCTCCCTGCTCAAGCAGGGACATCCTAGAGCACAGGGCACAGGATTGCATTCAGGTTCTAGAATATCTCCAGTGAGGGAGATTCCACAACCTCTCTGGACAACCTGCTGGTTGTCAGTCACAGTACAATAAAGAAGTTCTCCTTCATGCGCAGGTGGAACTTCCTGTGCATCCGTTTCTGCCCCTTCTTTATTTGTCCTATTTCTTGGTACCATCAAGAAGGGCTCTGCTCCATCCTCTGACACCCTCCCTTGAGATACCAATAGGCACTAGTGAGATTAATAAAGATGATATACCTGGGGAAAAAAATCTCTGAGCATGAGAACAGGCACAGGTTCTCACTCAGCTTGGACCTGGTGGGTGCACTGGGAAGGACTCACCACAAAGTGCCGCGATGCTGTAAAAAATTAAGCACTTTTTCACTTTTGGGGGGGAGGTATACCCTTAGAAAGCTGAAATACTACTTAAAAATTACAGCCAGAAACACATTTTATCCTTTATGACCACTGAAAGCACTTAAATCTCTAGATTTCTGTTCATCTTCAGGCCAGGCATCAGAGCACCACTGGGTTTACAGACGGCTGGGGCAGTGCAGTGGTGCCAGCAGAAGATTTCTCTCTGCCCCTTCCAGGCTTTCCTGGGGCTGAACTTGGGAATGGTTTCCCATGCACCCCATGGACACAGTTCAGTTCTCCCAGCTGCACAGTAAGGCAGGGAGACCGTGGCACTGCTTGCCTTGGAATGTGCTTGGGTGAAGCATTGGGGCTGCTTAGACTGTCTGACAGCTGCTTCTGGTTCTGGCTCAAGACAGCCATGAGCATTTTCCCTCCCTGACTCCTCTCACACTGGCTGCACAGCTTCTGTGGCCACACACACAGTGTCTCTTAGCAGGCAGGTGAAATGAGGAAACAATCTTTTCTGCCAGAAAGACATACAAATAGAATATATTTGATTTTAATTACTGCAAGGCAGGAATGCTTCCCATCAGAGCTGCCAGACTTGTATGTATCTTTCCTTCATTCCATCAATTATTTACCTTCAGTTTTAATAATACAGTTAAGGGCACTATATATAGCTTCTGCTCTATCAATAAATCATGCTTGCGTGTCTTCATATTTATCTTCCAAAATTATAAGTACCAACATGCTTGCATGGATTTGCTAAGCAATTCTAGCAATGGAATTCCCAGCAGTGCATTCTTGGAGTCTTTGGTGGTGAACTCAAATATTCCTCACTCAATGAGAGCTAGTTTATGAGACTTTTCATGAGATTTTTTTTATTATTTTATGAGCTCACGAGTCTTTTCACAAATCCCAACAATCTCCTTCATCCCCTTCTTATAGCTCCATGCTGATTTAAAACCCAGTGGGAATATTAAACATACTTGAGCTGCTCCCTTTCCCCTGCCCCTTTCCAGCAGTGGAGGAAACACTAGGAGAGATTATAAATTGGAATTACAGTTTACTGAAAAATTGCAATAAGCACAACAATATTAATAAAAGATGTACAAAAGAGAGATAATAAAAGAGTGTACAAAAGAGAGACCAAAGGATATTCACTACTGAACAAACAAAAATACTTCCCAAAGACCACATCCAGTGTGGTTTTCCAAGAAAAAGGCAAAATAATGGCTGTCCCTGTGCTGGGCAGCATGGAGTATATGCAAAAACAAAAGCAGAATGTTGGAAAGGCTTGCAATTTAACTTTTCCCACTCAGACTGAAAACAATGGAAGAA